AATATTTTAAAGCTTACGAGCAATTGTGCGATAATGGATTTTAACATCGAGGGATTGATAATTTATAAATATACTCTTCAATTGATTATGCAATTATTTTTTAATGAATGTCAACATTTAATGCTAAAAAATAAAATATTGCAAAGTAATTGTCGCAGTTGTTCATCGAATCTCCACGGAAAAGTTAAAACGAAATTTGCTTCGACACTTTGAGTTTCCGTAACTTTGATTCAATCGGCGCATCGAGATCGGGATCGGAATGATAAATTATCGAATCGTGCCGTTTTGCAGGAATAAGCGGATTTGCATAAATTGACGCAAATTACAAATAACGTACAACTACGTTCTATTTGTGGAATCGAGACGCGTGGATATAATAAGAATCCATTATCGTTTCAACTTTTTACGCGTTAATGATGCTATCGTTAATTAACAACATACGCGCCATACGATAATCCTGTTCGATTTAATCCGCTTTATAATCGTACATGGGACATGCACTAAACATCGGTCGCGATTGTTGTTATTTCGAAAATTTATTGACCGCAAGGTGGAAAGCGTCCTTTAGTCGCGTATGCGATTAATAACAAATACTGTTTAACGCAGTTTGATAAACAAACTGGCCGTAAAATGCCGAACAGAGGCGGCAATTTTAAGCGGCGTGATTCAATCGCCGCCTAAAATAATCGAAAGTTAATTAATTTCATTATCTCGGTTACGTCCTCGTTTCGATTAATTAGTTGCTCCATGCCGATAATACCGCGAATAATAATAAAGTTTTATCAGAGCAGAAATCGCGAAAGTATAGCTGCGTCAAAAATCAAACATTCTTCCACCTTGTCCACCTTAGTCGTCTATTATTTATTATTTGCTTCTGGTTATTTGAATCTGATTACTTTAGATTTATTAATAGTTGAAATAATTGAGTAATCGTCATCGAGTTACATTATTTAATTAAATAAATCCATACATTTTGTGATAATGTAATAAATTTAAATAATTGGTGGACTTGGAAACTTGGAAAATCATACACATATACGTATCAAACATTCTTTCTCGTGAAAGATATTTTATCAGCTTGTTTCGAGAAATATATTGTTATATTTTTGTAGCGAGCGACAGAAGATTTTCGAGTTTGCGAACGTCGAATTTCTAGGACGTATTCGCAAATCGGCCGTAAATATCGCGTTCAATTGTGAATCCGACTCGGTAACCCCGACGAATCGAAATGGAAAACCTGTGTTTACTTTCCGTTGATTCAATATTAGCGTCCGCAACTCCGAAACGAACCCCTGCAAAATCGTACATTCCGTTTGACTCGGCGATCGAAGGTACCTCTCCGACGCCGACGTTTTGTACGCTGCTTATTACACTCTCTCAGTCTCTAACGTCTCAGTCTCTTTTTCTCAAGTTTTAATATAAAAAAAAAAAAATATACATATATATTATTGAACGTTTTTGCCTTATTTTCTTATAGAAGAATCATTTTACCTTTTCAATCACGAGATACTCTATATTGTACAACAAGCGACTAATATTTTTTTAATAAACCGGTTGATAATATAACCAACTGGCAGATTTTAATGACATGGTACAGGAATATTTGGAAAATTTTCCCCTTTTACTCCGAAGGAATATTTAAAAGCGACCGAGAAGGGCGACGTCTAAAGGCGTCTACGTTCTGAAAAGACTTTTGCACATTCGCATGTACTTACATGTACATATACGTGCTTCGCACGAGAGGAAGCTTCGCAGCTTCCGCAGTATTCCAAGCATCGCTGGCTCCCGTTTACACTTGTAAGGCGAGGCTTCCCATTGTGTAACTAGAGAGAAATTTCGCACACGAGTCCCGTTTCGCCCTATCATAGCCGGTTGGATGCATTAACGTTGAGAGAGCGGTGAAAGGGGCTCGGTCTCCCCCTACACGTCGTAGGTCGTTTCGTATCGAACGGTTGTAAATGGTTCGCCTTAATGCGATCGCGTTACATGACGAGAGAACTCGTTGAGACATTCTTCGGTTACTATCTAAGATGCATATCGTATTATCTTACTATCTTCGATTACTAGCTTCCTACTTTATCAAAATCCGTCTAGTCGAATGCCAATATGTGATAACAATGTGTACGATATAACGGGTATTGAATAAATTTCTGATATTTTTATTTTCAAAATCGAGATGAATCAATATTTAGAAAACGATGGAATATTTGCCTCGCAATATTTTTGCAAACTCTATTTATTAATTTCTAACAGTTATAATTTTTTAATCAAAACTCTCTCTCTCTCTCTCTCTCTCTCTCCCCCTCTCTCCTGGTACAATAATTCTGAAAAAAAACAGGGATGCCCTTTTCTCGTTTTATAGCCATTTCATACAAACTTTTATCTCGTATAATAATTTAGCGGAAACAAAAAATACTTGCTTGGCAATTGTCTTTTTCTAGTAGTAAATTTGCGTATTTATTTCTTTGCTTTTCTTCGTGAGAAGCGTGTAAAGTCTCGAGTTACCTCATCGCGATATTTGAATATCATCTAACCGTGTTTCTATCGCGACATCCGTTGTTTGGTATCTCGTATCGCAGGGGGTTGGGGGAGATGGGTATACGGCGAGATGTAACGAGGCGTAACTAGGCTTGCGGGGCTTTAAGCTCTCCCCTTCCCTATAAGCGTGCGGCTTCGGCTAATGCTCGTCGTATAGAGGTTTAAGCAGGAACAACGGATCCACGGTAGGCGCGGAAAATCCGCCGAGGGGGTAGTCGATAACCGAGAGGTAAAGGTGAAGTCACGCGGAAAAGCCTCCGACAGTTTGGACGCGATATTTCCGTACGGAATTGCGCGCGTCTACTTTTTTTTTTCTTTTTATTACGCGAAAACATGTCGACGATATACATATATGATATTTCGTAGAAATTAGAGCACGGATGGATCCTTGGCCGGAAATGTAAAAATAGCGTCTGTAAATTGTTTGTAAATTCTTTTTTACAGACCATCACACTTGTGGACGATATTTACGAATCCATGAATTGGAGCCGTGGAATCCGTGCCGTATCCGAAAAATGCTATACATTTCAAGATTGATCGAGAGTTGGAGAAAAGAGATTTTCCGCTGTTCGCGAAATCTATGAAAAATTGTCGAAGATGTGCGGCGCGTTTAAAATCCGACACGGATCCGACATTTATATAGCGCGGATCCTTGCGGATGCGTAAGCTTTTCCGCGGCGGTATTTTCTTCCGGGGCTACCCTATATACATATGTATATATCCAGACTAGTAGGTATAAACGGAGCTTTTGCCCGGGCTCTCGGGCACGGAGTTTCTCGCGTGGCGGAGGATTACGATATTGTACGGTTGTGAAATACGACAGAGGACGTTGCTGAGGTGCGCCTCTTATCTACCGTTGTCTACTACTATCTCTTAGCCTTTCATTTAAGAAGCGTGTAATAGCTGTCGTTGCAGCTGCACGTGACCCCGTCCTTCGTTTCCGTTCGCCGGAGGCAAGGAGGAAAAGATGGAGGAAATTTTACCTCGCCAAGATACTAAAATTCCACCGGACACCACTGGCTATCAAAAATTTATGCTCTTTGAGATCATCGGGTTTTAAACAAATGCGAAATTCAGAATAGGAAGATTGGTGGGAAATCGATAAAATCTCTGGAACGGATAAACTTCCCTCCAGGACTATTATATCCGTGAAATTTATTATCGTTAGATGTGTAATAAAGTACGATATTCGTGACTTTTGTGAATTCGCCTGAAAAAGCCCTGAACATTTTTTACGTACAAAAGACTTTAATATACATCTGCGTAAGAAATGTGTGTTTTAATTACAGATTATAGATATTAATTAAAATAAAGTTAAAAATTAATTTAATATATGAAATATTTAAAGTTATAAAAAATTGATTGTAGTTGCGACAAAATCTATCTCTTTGAAACTCGCGAGTTGGGATACGAGTTTATTTGTCGGATATTTGAAGGAACGCGCGAAAAACGCATAAAAATGCGGCATTTTCGCGCTTTTCGCGGAACTCGCGAACAACGGTACGCACACGTAACGTTCAAATGACTAATACATCTGCCAAAGGTATATATCCGAGATATCGGGTTCTCGCTCGATAAAATGTAAAATTCGCGGCACACGCGGATAGTAAAAATTGCGCAGCGCGCGGATATCGCGCTTCGTAGAGTAGAGGAGAAATATACGAGATATAGCGGTAGCTCGACGTTGGTATCCACCGTCACGTGCGTTATCGCGTGGGCGATATTTGTCGCGCGTGACCTAGGAGCCGTAGCCGCCGCCCGTGGCCCGTGCCGATATCTTTTCACGCTACATCAAGGCAGGCTCTTTCCGTAACGGCGGAAATCGTGCAAACGTAAGGAAAATTCATACGCGTTAAAAAAAAAACGATATATTTCCTCTTTCATCTATACGAGAAAGGAGGCGATGTAAAAATACGAGAGGGAAAAATTATTCAACATGTATTTATATATACATAGTATCTCTTGATATGCAATTTCTTTTATTATTTTACAAGTGTTTGTTTTCATCGATCTTTGTTCAAGTTTATGCCAACATAGAATCCACATCTCGTTTGCAGGAAAAACAAAAGGAATAGAGATCCATTTGAGCGGTGGATTGAAAGAGGGGGGGAGAGGGTGGCGGGAAACGGGAAACGGGAAACGTTTCCATGGGAAAAGTTTCCCCTCTCCGTGGTAACTTTGTTTTTCGTTGCGAGCTTTCCGCGAGCTTTCGGTAGGAAAGTCACTCGAGCCGGGCGACCACAGGCATCGTAACGCGCCGCTTTAAGCTATCATGGTTCTCGCCCCGCTTACCCTTGTTCTCCACTTTTGCCCCTACCCTCCGCTCTATGCTGGATTAAAGTATCGGCGACGCCAAACCGCGTCTGAATAATTCAGGACTAAAGTTCTGGTCGTTCGAACCCGCGAGAGGAGTCCTACGAGAACGATCGGGGTCTGATCGAGGCCTGCTTTTTACGTTGCAGGTTTCGCGCTGATGAGAATCGTCGAGGTATACAAGGAAATCCAGGATCAGGAGATGAACATTGTAAGTATATATTAATAGTTTGATACAATAGGAAAGATATGTTTTTTTTTTTTAAGAATGAGACATTTTTTAAAGACTGACGATTTAAAAATTATTTTTTTTTTTAGTTTCTTTTCTTTAATTGACTCTAGTCAATTCTCGTAAAATTTTCTATTATAAATATAGAATTTATTGTTTGATATATATATTTAAAGTTTTGTTAAAAAATGTGCCTATAACGAGAAAAATTTTCTTCTTACTCTATTTTTGTTTTAATAACATCTCTCTAGTGACGCCGAATATTAAGATTTTAATATAAACAATCTCTTATTACAACATAGTAATGTAAGTAATATCTTTATTTATCGCGATTTTTTTTTTTTTTTTT